CCAAAAAGTGCATCTTTCTTTGCGTTTTTCTGAAAACCAGATTTTTAAGGGGAAAATTGAAGTTTTCCCCCTTTTCTCCTAAACGGTAAGACCGATTGGACTCAAACTTTTTTAATGAGTTCTTCGATCGAGTTGAGGTGTGTGTGTTTTTTTTCCCTTGAAAACATTGTACCTATGAAGTTTGGCAGGCTTTATAAAATTTGCATCGTGTGAAAAAAGAAAACTTTTTTTTTATGGTTTTTTGATAGTGTCTCCAGTGTTTTGCTTCTCCTGAGTCTCAGGAACAATATTTTTCAAAGAAAAAGAAAATACACAACCAGATTTGTTCCTAGTTGCTGCAGAAAAAAATTCAGCCCAAAAGAACGTAGTATGGCCGTTTGCCGGAGAGAAAACTTCAAGCCATTTTTGGCCCTTGGCATCCCAAAATCTCCCTGAAGAAAGCATTCGGGAATTCTGAGTCTATGACAACCTTTATTCTACTCATCGAGATCTATCCTACCTTGAAAGTTTCAAAAAATTTCGTCTAACCGTTCTCGAGAAACATCGGAAAGAGGGGCCCTCAAATAATTTCTTTTTTTATTTTCAATTTTGTTTTTACCATATAAATTTCCAATTTCTTGTAAAACTGATATAATACGTGTTTCAAATTCATCACGACAACGTTTGTCAGCTGAAATATATTACATTGAATTATGAATATTCCTACTTGTATGATTTCAATTTTAGAATTTTTCTTTTATCATAATTTTTTAACATCTTTATAGCACTCGTTAAATCTTCTACGGATTGGCATTCATCTGTAAAGCGTAAAATAAATCTTGCCAACTAATTTTTTCCATATTTAATGTAATTACATGTTCTGATAATGTATCAAGAACATGTTTTCGAACAAAACTCGAATACATTGATAAATTTTCTGATTTTAAAGAATAACTACAATTAACAAGTAAATTTATTTTCTTGTTATAAAATTCTTTAATTAAGGTGATTGAATTTGTTTACTGCAGCATAATCTACTAGTAAGAGAATGAAAGATGACGTATTTCGGTTTGCTTTATGCAGAGTAAATAAGAACGATAAATTAAAGAAATTTATAATATAACTTTAAAAATTGCTCTTTGAAAAGTTCCTTTTTTTTGTTTGCAAAGAAAAATCTTTGTAAAAGAAAGACATAGTTAGCAGAGACAGAAGCAGACTTTTATCTGTCTAATTTATTTAAATGAACAAAGAATTCATTAACTCATTTTCTTACTAAAACTTCACTCAATTCGAGCCAACTTATAGACAAATCATGACTGATTTTTCGTAGATTTGTCAGGTTTTTAAAAGGATTATTTTTTTGACAGCTATAAATTTTTTTCTCTTAGATGAAAAGATTATTTCTGGTGAGTAATTTGCGCTTTGTATCATAACTCATCGAGTTTTACTTGAAACCATGATAATTTCCGTTAAAATCATCTTTTTGGAAAATTTAATTAGAAAACCTTCATATACTAATAATAAATACTTTTATGTTACTTTCTTAGTGTTAATATAGGAGAAAAGAAAATTTAATAAAATAATTTTTTCCTATAAGATCTCTAGAGGGTGTGAGTGTGGATGTCACTTTGAATATCTCACCCACATCCAGTTGGCAAACCAACACTCGACAATAATCAATGCGTGTCATGTGCAAGAAATAAACAAAACTACATTCATCAGATGATTAATCATTTGGATGCGAAATACATTTGCGATCGCTTCAGATCAATCTGAAGTTCTTGAAAAAATAAACGAGAGTTCATACTTGAGCGCATTCTTCTAATTCAATTTCTTTGACAGGATAAGGTTGATCTTTGTGAATCAATTGTGTATCGCGTTGTTCTTTTACTTGAAAAACAGTAAATGGAACAATCAACACTTCTTCCTCGTCCTTGATCTTACTCATATTTTCGATTGCGAGACTTGATCGAGGATTGATTACTTTATAAATGCATATAACTGGCGGATAAGTCTCGTAATCTTCGCAATCAAGAAATAGTTCGGCAATAGATCGATTTTTTGATGTAGAAAGGAATGAACGAGTCATAACAATATTCCCACTATTGTATTCTTCAAGATCTTTCTTTGTAATTTTCATTCCACGAAAAGTAGTTCCAGCATATTGGTATGGACGAAAACGAGGATGATTGATAATGATGGAAGCAAAAATATATTGACCAAGACCTTGTGGCGGTTCATTGTCGACATAACCTGAATTGATTAAAGCTTGAGTGCTGACAAAACGAAAGTCGGAACCTAATTCGGCTAAATTACGATTTAACAAATTAAAGAAATTAACCTTTGGACACGTATAGGCATCTAATAATCCAAGAGGATCATCTAGTTCTATTGTATAAGACAGATACTCTTTGATTTTTTCACGGCCTTTTTCATCGGTAAAATTTAGTTTGTCAATATAGTCAGTGACAATTGCGTTGAGTAGTTTTTGTAGAGCAACTTTCGTCAACCATCGTTTCATGTGTTCATGATTCTCGTACGAGATGCGATAGGCATTCTTATAGGAATCAAGCCATTCAACTTCACGTGATGAAGCAACGAAATGGTTCGAATCTGAGATCGTTCGTATGGGATCCTTGAATGCCGCTGTAGTCTCTTCATTGGGTGCTAATTCTTCGGCAGTAAGTCCTTTATTGTTACGGATTGTGCGAGATGCGTGATATCGCAGTAAAAGTCGGACAACTTTAACGTGACCATACAATGATGCAGCATGCAGGGGTGTGTTACCATCAGGTCCCTTGGTATCGATTTCATTACGGTTAGCAGTCTCTTGAACTGTCTTTAAATCATTATTGCAACAAGCCAAATAGAATGAATTCGGTTCTTCTGATCCTGAACATGACATTTTTTCTTGGAACAAATAGTAAGTATGATAGTTTGATGCTTTTGAACTTTGCTGACAGAAACTTGTACCAACTTTCTAATGGAATTCTAAAATAAAATATCGAACCAATGTCTACATTGAAGAGAGACACTACAAGATGTATCGCATGACATATGATGCCAACGATTTCTCTATTTGACACTCGAACAATAATTTTGGAACTTCTGAGATACAATCTTAACTGGCACATTATCTTTCTATTTCTGATGTGTTTCTTACACAAACGGCAGCTCAGATAACTAAAAAATGAACTTCTAATATCGAACACCGACTTCATCAAAGATGTATTTTGCATATTCCTTCGGTTTTTTCTCTTCCTAGGTATTAAGTGTAATAGAAGATAGCCCTTAATTGATTATTTTTTTCGAAAACTGAGAACTTTAATTAGTGTACTTGCATCAAAATATACCAGATGATTCGAATTCTATTAATCTTTGCATTGTTTTAGACTCGTTGCGTAGGAAACTACTCAAAAATCACATATAACGAAAAAAGATATTGACTTCCATTAGACAGCATCTAGCTTACATGACATTCATATAATTGGCTCACTCGTGTATTTACTTCATTTCAATCAAATGGGATAATCTTTTGGTCAATTATAGAAGTGTTTTCAAAACTTTTATTCATAAGATAAATATATAACAACTAGTGTACTGAGCTATTATGATTGACTTCAATCAGAAAATGTGACTTTTTTTGTAATTTCAAAAGAAAAATATTTACGTACATGCTAACTATAAATTTTAATAATTAAAATTTGTATTCAAGTGTAGCAAAATTCAATAAAAGCTTACATCGAGTAAATCACATGCACGCGCACGTGAGGTATTTGTGCTGTGTTTCTGTGCCTGAAATAAGTTAATATAACAGTCCGCTTCAATTCAGTTCAGTAGAAATAATTTGAGATTCAATGAGTTAATTAAAAACTATGAAAATACATAGAACATAGTTCAAGGTCTTCCCTAAAACTTTATTACGCTTGTACATAATAGAAGATCCGTGGTCTTCTATTGCGAGGAGTTAGTATACATGGAGTGATGCATATCAAGAATTTTTATCTTTGGCAAATGAGGACAACACATTCAGGTCTTATGTTTTTGACTCATCTGAAATTATAATAGTCAAAATAATGTTTGCATACCAAAAAAAAGTCATGGTAATTCTTGTCAACAAATTCAGATCAAGAAGATTTTGCTGATAATTCAGAACTCAATAAATGTGCCTGCACATACAACATACACAGGGTGGAAAATTCACAAAATCATCAATAACAATATGATTTCACTAGGTAGCAAACAACAACAGCAACGATAAAAGTAAGCAAAGAGTGCTCTGACGAACGATATCGTTGAACGAAAGATGTCAGCTCATACAAGTAGCTTTATTAAAAACTACAGAAATATTTTGGGTGTGGGGTGCGGGTGTGGATGTGGGGTGTAGGTGTGGGTGCAGTGTAGAGCCCGTCGGGTCCAAGATTTTTGGACCCGGATCCATTTTTAATTTACTACACTCGTACTCGAAACCGGACCCGACCCGAACCCGGTCGCTTAAATTTTTGGATCTAAGCAGGATGATAAATCAGTTTCGATAATATATTGAAAAAGTGTTTTGTTGTTTTTTTGTCTATTTTCTAAATACGTTCAATTTTTTTTCTTTATAAAACGAACAAAATTTTGAAAAAATTCACAATACATTGTATGCATCGAAGTTTTCTTCAGAGCTGGATCCGACCCGGACCCGGTCACAGTAAAATTTTCAGACCCGGAGCCTACCCGGACCCGGCTAAAACGAAATTTTTAGACCTGGACCTGCTCGGATCCGGGTCCTACCCGACAGGCTCTAGTGCATTGTGATGTGTGGGTGTGGCTATGTGGATGTGGAGTGTAGGTGTGGTATGGCGTATGGGTGTGGGTGTGGATGCTGACGGGTCAAGGGACGAGAAGCAATGTCACTCACGATCACATCCACATCCTCACACCATCCACACCCACACTTACACCCCACCATAATTTACATTAAAAAAGTCTGAATGAATGAAGATGCTATAGGAAGTAATCTTGCCTCAGTCAGAGAGAAAAAAACCTGGTTTTTTCCAATATTGACATTCACTTGAAACATAAGAAACAAGTTATTTCGGATTGTGTAAATACGTATTATTCCGAATGATTGGATTCTGTACCGAAAGAATATTGAATTGATTAAAAAAGAGTAGCGAGGGCACAGAACTAAGTGAAGAGTAAAATGTGATCCATTGTACCTGCTTAACTAAACAAATTATTTTTGAATGATTGGACACAGAGCTATGTTTAGAACATACAAGAATAAGAAGGAAGTAACCAAAGAGAAATAAAATTATGCAATGATGATTAATCAAAATGTATATGCTGAGGTAGAATGCCTATAAAATGGTAGAGATCGAAACACATCAAACTGATTTATAATATCGGTTTGAAATAATCACACATCACCAATCACTACAATGAAACTTGTCTTAGTAGCATTGCTCTTTTTCTCCTATGATATTATCATCCAATGTGGCGATGTTACGCAGACATGGTATGAAACGAAAATGTCAGAATCGGTCGTGCCAGCATACAAAAACGCTTATATAATTCTACAACAAGATATTTTGAATCCACTATTGACCAACGCCAATGCACACAATGAAACAACTATCAATCAGCTGGTCTCGACTTTAACTTGTGCGGTTCAGCGTGTCTACAATACACTGGATGTAGCGGTCAATAGCAGTCAAAAACTTCGTGTCGAAATCGATCAAAAGATTGTCGACGCTGTTGCTACCGTCAGTGGAAAAGAAAATGAAATCTCAGGCAAACAAGGTGAAATTCAGTAAAAAACAACGGAAATCCAAGGCGTTCAGTCTCAGCTGAGCACAGCTGAGGAAGGTCTGAGATACAAACAACAAGCACTGGCCAACGCGGAGAATGATCTTTGTATTGCACAACAAAAAGTTGAAGATGTACGAAATTGTCTAGGTGGAAGACGACGACAACGAAAACGATTTTTGGGCGTGATCTTTGGACCAATCAAAGACGCAATCGATAAAATAATCGAGAAACCACTTTGCAGCGTCTTCACCTCGGGCGGAATCAATAGCGCAAAATATGCACGTCGTAATGCAGAAGGACAAGTTCAAAGTGCACAACAACAAGTCAACAGTTGTCATCGTTGCAAGATCAGAAATCCGGTTTAGAAACACACCTGAGTCAGTTACAAACACAGTTACAAGAGTTACAATCAACTTTGATAAAGCTACGAGACGTTAGTAATTCAACAGCAGTAATCAATGATCAATTAAAACAAGTTATCGTTCATATTACAAACATATGGGATGCATCGTCAGTTCTTTACAACACGATCAAGGATCTGATCAATTTCCAATGAATTGACAAAAGGCAATCTCTTGTTGAGTATGCCTGTTGATATTATCAACGATACTACACTGACTCAGATAAAACGAAGTTTGGACAAATTAGCCGACGTCTTACCACAAATGCCATTTAATACTTTGCTCAGAAGTGTCAGCTGTGGTATAAAGAAATAAAGAGATCTAACCAGATGAACACTATTTTTTGAGAAGCTTTCATGTTATGGTTTCTTACTTTTTTTAGAACTTTTTTTTACTAAAATACTCTCACAACTTTTTTGTCTCTTATATAACGAAGACACGTCCAGTACTCTTAGAAAGAATTATTGACTATTACTGGTCATGTTCTGCTCTTTCTTTTCAGATCGCTAAAACATATAATGAATTCGTTATTCGCTATAATAATTATATTTTTCTATTCGATATTAGTTTGTCAATCTGTGTCATCGTTCTGATGAACAATAATTAAGCACTCAGGCTCCTATCTAGATCAATAACATAGGTGTAATACATTATCAAATTTCACATGGTTCTTTTGTTCAAAACTAATTCCTTGTCAACACTACCATTGTCGATCATGTGGTCATTATAATATGTACTTGATTCATGGTCAGCAAAAACACAAATTCTTAAATATTGTAGTCAAAAAAGTCAAGTACATATTTGTGATCAATTTTATAGAAATTTATTCGTATTGAAACAAGTCTAATATCATCACTAAAACGAATAAGTAATCCAAATGCAATCATTATATTTGATAACTTTCATCTTGTTTCTTCAAAACCACTTGTTTGCAATGAATTTGAAGAAGACTATCAATTATATATATATATATGATAGAAAGTTAGATCAAGTTGAAGATTTTTCTACAAATCTATGTGAACTTCATGAAATAGAATTTATACCGATAACACAAACATTTATATTAAATAGCATCAATAAAACATATCAATTATTTATGGAAATAAATCATCAAATAATATATCCAAAAAATGATTATTATATTCATAAAAATATTCATCTTTTTAAATAATACATTGTTAGGTTATGCCAATATATGGTATGATACAATGCAAACAGTTCGTTTAACAGTAACACCAACATGCTATGCAAGAAAAATTGATTCAGCTGATAGTGGTATCAGTGATGTATGATCAATCTTTATTTTATTTTTATTTCCCTGTTTTTTATTATATAGTTTATATATCCCGTTATAAAAACTACAAAAAAAACTACTGTATTTAAAAAGCAAAAGGAAGAATTTCAGTCAAATAGTATTTTAAATGTATTATTAGTATTCTTCATAAGTAGTTCGAACTCTTGATGAATAGCCTCTATTGATTATAGTATTCGATCGATTAAAATAAGCAGGACATCCACATGTAGTTGTACATAAGAAGGATGATCGTGCTGGAGGCGTCTAGAATAAAAGATTTACATTTTTTTCTGAAGGTATTTTATTGTTCAAAAAACAGTTTACTATATCTTCAACAACACCAGCGTGGCGAGCTTGTTGAACAAGTGTTACTGGATCTAAAAGTGATGACCCATAGCGAACTCTATAAAATTCAGGATCTTCTTGTGTAACACCAAGATTTTCAAATTTTTGAACTACACGTGTTTCAGCAGCAGCATGAATAATAGTAGTACTAGATGGTTGTGGATATTCTATAGCGGGAGGAGCATGTTCAACAATTGTACGCCGTTCAGGTTGAGGTCCATAGGGAATCCATCGTTCAATTATAATATCACCTCAATAGCAAAAAAACAACAATTTGGAATAAAAAACAACAAAAAGAAAAATGAAGATAATTATTTTACGTGGTCTCTCTGGAGGAGGTGGAAAACGTTCGATGATAACTGATCGTGGTGGAACAGGTATCGGAGGTAAAGTACGAATAACTGTAAAATAAAATACATTGATAAATCTAAACTATGTAATGTAAATTTCTTTTGTTTTTTTTCTAACTTGTTTCACTAGGAATATATATTGGTGGTGTTGGTGGGCGTTCACGTAAGATAAGTGGCGATGGTGAAGGAAAAGGTGGTGCATGTTCATGTATGACAAGTGGTGGAAGTGGCGATCGTTGTCGCGGACGCACTTCTTTAATAATGAGTGGCTAAAATCATAAAAATTTTAGTACAATTAAATTTGTAAACAATGTATTTGATTACTCCTGGTGGTGGTACATCTGGTGGTTGAAGATATCGAACATTAACTCGTTGTTCAAGTGTTACTGGGCTTGAACTTCTTGCTCGTTGAATAATTTTTGGATTAGGATCATGATAAATATTCGAACCTGATTTTTCCAGATAATAATTGGTTTCTTCTGGATTATTTGTATTAACCACCGTATCATCAACGCATCGTCTAGTTCCATATGAACTATATCTATCACCCATATATCCCAAATCATCTTGAAAACTATCTTTATATCGACATCGACCAAATTGATTAGTAGTATCAGCATAACGATTAAATGTACCAGTTATTGATTCATTTGATGTAGCCAATCCCTCAGTATTTGAAAACCAATTACGAAATTCACATTTATCAATACTAAATATATATATATGTGTGTATTTATTATTTGATTTAAATTCTTAATTTATACCGTCCATCCCGATTTGAATCAATTTGTTGAAATAAAGTGTCAGCTGTATCATCATTTGCCATGGTTCGAAATCGACAAAGTAGAAATAAATTCCTAGAATAAACGAAAACTAATAATCATTAATTTATACATCTATCATAAAAATATCAAATGCTCAATCAAGCATCACCAACATAAGACATAATACAAATATCCAGCATTTGTTGTGTAACATCAAGAGCATTCTTGTTCATAGTCTTTTTAATTTTTTGGTAAAAAAGATTAGAGGCATTAAAAAAAAATAAAAGTGTATAAATAATCGTCGCATCGTTCTTATAATTGGTTTATGAAGAATGGAATATAATCATCGGAATATTGTAAGAAAAAAACAGAGACAGAAGAAGAAGAAGAGCTTTTCATTAAAACTGTTGAAGAAAAATTGGTCCACTCAAAATTCGAAAAAAAAACATATGATGGAAAATTTGAATTTGTGGTACAATTACATTCTTTAAAATCATCTCATTTTGTGACAAAATAAACTTGTATTGCTATATTTTATAACGGTATAGTGGTATAAGCGGTATAAGGTTATATTTTTATACCGCTATAGCGGTATGGCGGTATAAGTGGTATAAGAGTATGGTTTTATGCAGCTGCAGTGGTATTAGCGGTTTAAGGTTATGTTTTTATACCGCTATAGCGGTATGGTGGTATATGTGGTATTAGAGTATGTTTTTATACAGCTATAGTGGTATTAGCGGTATAAGGTTATATTTATATACCAGCATAGTGGTATTAGCGGTATTAGCGGTATAAGGGTATGTTTTTATACAGCTATAGTGGTATTAGTAGTATAAGGTTATATTTTTATACCACCATAGCGGTATTAGCGGTATAACGATATAGGAGTATATTTTTATACTGCTGTAGCGGTATAACCGCATAAAAGTATATTTTTACATCGCAATAGCGGTATAGCGGTATTGCGGTATTAACGGTATAAGGGTATATTTTTATACTACTATAGCGGTATAACCACATAAGGGTATATTTTTACACCGCTATAGCGGTATAGAGGTATAAGTGATATCAGAGTATGTTTTTATACAGCTATAGTGGCAGTAGCGGGATAAGCGGTACAAGGGTGTATTTTTATCATTTGATGCCTTATATGCAAGGGGGAAAAAGCAGATTTCAAGATTCACAAAGATTTCTAAAGATTTCAATTTAAGAAAATCTACATGCTTTGATAAATCTCTGCTTGAGAACTTGTTCAGTCTTATTTTATATGCGTTGCTATTTGACTTAATCCTTCCACTGCAAAGATAGTTGTATAAGATAAAATGACTTTGTGACCATGTTTTCGTGTCTTCATCCAATTGTCTAGTCATATAGATGCATGTATTAGTACAATCCTAACGCTTCAATGAGGTCAATTGACGATGACAAATCTGAATCTCTGATTGAGTTCCAGAAAATTTGAACTTTATGTTTTTCATCCAAGAAACACTTTCTACACTAATAGCATTTTTTTGTAAAATTTCAAAAAAGATAGTCAGGTTTGAGAAATCTAAATTCTTTATTGACTTCCAACTATTTGTACTCTTGATTTCTCTTTAAAAAAACTGATAGTTTCTCTGAAATACTTACTGTGCGTCTACTGAGAAATCCAAGAGATGAATATCTCGAAGCCTATTACAGACTGATATTGCTCGACCATACTTGCGTTTCGTCAAAATGTATGAGAAACCGTTGTTTTTTTAAAGTAGATTTTCTGGGATAAAAAAGGTGAAACTAAATGGCATTCGTCTCAATGTATCACTTCTTCACTTTATTTCAATTGAGCAAAGTATTAGGTGGGAAATGTTGCAGTTGATATTTGATTATAAGTTTAATATTAATATGCAATACGAATAGTATTCGTTATCACGAGTCGCTTGACCGTTCACGAAATTTGACCTAACCTTTCACTTCTACCGCCTACTATATTCCTTTTTGAGAATTGCTGCTCAAGAACATGTGCTAATGTAAAAAGATATATTTATTTTATTTCTTGAGACAATCATTTTGTGAAGAGACCGTACTTTTCTATATTCAGTTGACATTTACTAAAATGAATCTTGACGAAGAGCAGTCATCAATTGTGCGGCAACATCTCTCATCGTCGCCAACCTCGACTCCTTAATTTTCTGTATGATTAAGATTTAATTGTAAGTGATTTATTT